CGGTACCTGCGTATTTGTGACTCTAACCCTGACGCCATTGCCTGGCTGATGGAAAGCTCGTGTGTCACCCTGTAGCATTTTGTACTTGGAGGATTCTCAGAAGCGGCAGCATAACTCTTCAGTCTGCCCGAGTCGTCACCTGACAAGGGAACAGCTAAGTCACGCGACCAAAACCACATTGACAACATTGACCACACAAATGAGTGACAGAGTGGACCTGAGAGCCCCAGATACGAGTGAGCGGGAAGGCCCACCGATCGCCGCCAGACCCGCTGTGGGGCCCATGTCTGTGTGAGAGAAAGTAGAGGGTGGAGGGGAGCCAGGGGGCATGTGGTGAATTTGAGGTCAGGAGAACTCCCGCACGGCAGACGGGTGTTCCCAGGAGAAGACCACTGGCCGTTCAGCAGGTGCCGGGACCGCGTTGAGGAGCATGAAAGCTGAGTAGGATCGGGACTGTAGAAAGGAAAGAGAAGGGACAGTGAAAGTGGGGAGGGAACAGAGCCAGGAAGTCTCAGAAAGCAAGAGGCCGGGTTTTTTTTTTTTTTTTTTTTTAATTTTTTTTTTTCAACGTTTATTTATTTTTGGGACAGAGAGAGACAGAGCATGAACAGGGGAGGGGCAGAGAGAGAGGGAGACACAGAATCGGAAACAGGCTCCAGGCTCCGAGCCATCAGCCCAGAGCCCGACGCGGGGCTCGAACTCACGGACCGCGAGATCGTGACCTGGCTGAAGTCGGACGCTTAACTGACTGCGCCACCCAGGCGCCCCTAGGGTTTTTAACACTAAATAAAAACAGCGCAGGAGGGAGCGCTCTGCTATGTTTGATTAGCTGTCCTAGCCCCTGCCTCTTCCTAAGAGATCAGGGACCATGTTGTCGCCCACAGATGAGCACCAAAAGGCACCAAGGTCAAATCCCATACTCAGGCTTAAGGAAAAGTAAACAAGGAGCAGAATAACATCGTTGGCAATGAAAGCAAGAAACCAGAAAGAAACACCCAGAACAAGCGGGAAGACTTTTTTTTTTTTTTTTTGAATTAGACATGAAAGAACAAAAAATCAATTTAAAGAAAATTTCAAATGAGATGACAGAAGTCAAGAAATATTTATAAATGAAAGGTCATTTCAGAAACAAAGATTGAACTAGAAGGAACATGGGCAAACAGAAAGACCGTGCCGTCAGAGAAATTGAAGGGGGAAAAGAGGACAATTTGAAAACATCGCAAAGCAAGAAGAAAAAGATTTAACAGTGAAATGATAAATACCAAAGACTGGCAAAGATGATTCAATTGACAGGTAAGGGTCCCTGAAGGAAAAAAAAGACAAGACAAAGGAATGGAGCAGATCCCAAACACAGTAATTCAAGAAAAATTTCCTGAAACTACGAAGAAACGAAAAGTTGAAGCTAGAAAGTCATACCCTGTGTCTCTGAAAATAGTGACCCACAAGGAGCACCATCAAGTTATGTTTGGGTAAAATGACTGGACTTTCAAGACAGTCTGTCGGGCGTCTAGATCTGCGCTGCCCCGTTGTAGTGCCGGATTGAACTGTACCGCACGCAGGATTCTAACGACTTAGTATGAAAATAAGTAAATTGTCTCATTAATTTTTTTATGTTCCATGTTGAAAACATTTGAGATACGTTGCAGTAAATATGTTTTAAAATTTTTACCTCTTTTTACTCTTCAGTGTGGCTACTAGAAAATTGAAAATTGCATGCGCAAGTTGTGTTTATGGCCTGCGTTAATATTCCGTTGGACAGCGCAGATCTAGAACTCCAGGCCCCCTTCTGCATCAGAGTCCCCATTCTGCATCCGTAGTACCTTCCTGGATAGAATTTTCCCGTGAATAGTCCTTTTGATATTTTCTCTCCATATGCTTAGAATCTCTCTTTTTTTGTCTTTTTCCTTGAATTCTTCTTCTAGCGTTTCAGGGAATTTTTCTCTTCCAGAATAAGCCAGGGCACAGCACTGCTTCAGCCCTAACAGGCACCTCATTGCTTCATCAGTCCTACTCGAAGTGAGCACAGCGCCCCCTACAGGGCCCTGGAGCCATCCCCACACTCTGTCTTTGTCTCCCTCTAGGAATGGCATTTTTCTCTCCTCTTTCTTCCCCCTCACCAGCTTTGAACTTCTGTTTTGTTTTAGTGCTCTCTAACCAAATTTGTCTTTATTTTCTTTGTGATTTATCTTTTTTAGATAAAGCATTTAAAAGATGAGCTTCTGTGGCAATAGACCTAAAAACTCTGTGTGTTTAAACTAGTTTTCTTTTAGGCAAAAAATAAGCAATCATCATTAGAATGATTAAAAGCATTGATATGTGGGAAAGAACAGAATTTCAGGGAAAATAAATTAACTGAAACTTCCACTGGTCCATTGGAAAATTTGAAATAGAAAGCCCGGTCATTACTGGAAGGTATTTTACACAATCAGCCCATAATGTTTTATATCATTTATGCATGTTCTTCAGGAGAATAAACATTACCATTCCACATTTCCTTCTCTTGGCACTTCTCTTGACACGGTTTTTATGTACGACATCCTTTCTTCGTAAATAGCATTTTTCTAGTTAGTTTGTAATTTAGTTACTGCCTAAATTACTACTAAATCTCAGGAAAGTCTGGTAAGATTTAGTACTTAACAAAAGCATTTATTACAGTGTCTGGAATTGACAAGTGAAATAAATACATGGTTCTGGACATTTCTCCTTGTTTTCTTTTGGAACACCTTAGATTTTCCACTGTTCTTAATTAGAGAACAGGAAGTCTTCTGTCTAATGCATGGAAGCCATTGTGCACTGGGAAATAAGTATGTAGAGCAGGGAAGATTTGGACAGAATTATCTCCAAGCTTTTCTGTTCTGTTTCGTACAGCTCATTCATAGACATCCGGGCTTGATGTGTATTTGGTTACATTGGGAAAGCCCCGGTGTTCCTTGTTAATGAGCAGCATATGTAGCATCCTGAATGTGGAGAGTATCTTGTCCACACATCACTTGCTAGATGGTGTTCATCCTCAAGTGCCTATGGTAGACCAGCACATCAAAGCTTCCTCGTAATTACCATGAATCTGTGGCATCTCTGACTGATTGATTGCACTGGGGGTATAGCATTTCAGTGATGAAATGTAATTTAGTAAAGTGGAACTCAAGTCCATTTCTACCAGATGGGGTTTAACCACCTCAGGAGTCAGTGCAGTCAAAACCTCTCGTTAATATGCCTGCGTGTCTCCTAGAATGTGACACTGCCACCTCTTTGATCACTGGCCCCACACTGTTCAGTAGCACCTGGACATCCCAGACCTCCCCGGGCCTTACCCCACCCCCTCCCCCTACGTAACACAGCAGTGGGAGCTTCTCTAGAATCTTCAGTGCCTGGTGCCCCTGGATGTGCTCATCTGTGCACGTGGCTGTGGTGGAGGCGGCCCTCTGCACGTGCACTTCATGTGAACACTGATCACGTAACCACCGTTTTACCGAAAGTATTTGCAAGTGCCGGATACAGATACTCAGTTGAAGCCCACAAAGGTTCAGGAAAAAAGTGTTAGTGGCAGTGCTAGGATCAGAGCACCTGCCTTTGGAGTTCTGCTCTGCTTCTTACCAGGGCACCATAACCACCTGTGTGATCTAACCAAGGCCAACATGTAAGAAATACTACCTTTTTAATGCTTATGTTACCATTTAGTAATTTCTTTGATCCTATAGATCCTCAGTTTTATTTCGGTGTGAAAATTGTGAAAACGGTTGTATAAGGAGGTGGCAATAAAGACAGGCAGGGACAAGTCACACTAAGTGACCTGCAAGGAAAGTGGAGAGGAGGTGGAAGAAAAATTCAGGGGTGCCTTATTTCATCTGTGTTAGGGATTTTACTTTTACTCTGATTCCATTATTTTATAGATGGGAAAAGTTATACCTGCAGAAGTTAAATGACTTGTTCAAGTTCAAGTTATAACCCAGATCTCTTGAGTCTACATTAAATATTGTTTCTAATATGCTACACAGACTTCCTGTAGTCTGGAGAAAAGAATAGTTTCATCCTAGAGATTAAATCTGAAGCTAATACCACGAACTGTGGAGAAGATCGGAGTCCGGGAACTCTTAGACAGTGCGGTGGGTCCAAATGAGAGTTTGCTTCCAAATGAGTCTGTGTGTGCAGAGCACGATTCTTGGAAGAGTCTCTGTCAGCAACACTACTGTATCAGCTAGCTTCGCTGTGTAACAAACCACCCCAAATTTAGTTGCTTAAAACAAAAGTCATTTATTATAAGTAGTTTACACCAGCTATTTATTAGAATCACACCGTAGCAATATTTGTACTTCAACCACTAAGCTGTCAGGTCTGTGAACTCCATTGTAACTAAATCCGTATACTTCTTCTGTGATACACTGGTTCTAAATTTTTAAATGTCTTTGAAAAGATAGAAATTTCTTTTTTTCTCTGACCTTTATTGCACTTAAGGAATCATGGTGTTTCATCACAAGGTACTCTGTATTAAAACACTTTTTTTTTTTTTAACTTACAAGTCTTCAAAGAAAATGTTTCTTGTTTTTTTAAAAAAGTTAGTTTCATAGTTTCATAATTACAAATAGTACTCTTTTGTACCACTGCAGTGCCCTAATTGTGAAAAACCTAAACTCAGGCATTTAAAAAAAAAATTATTATTGTCATTAATATTAGTTTACATTGGATTTTATGGGTTTAAAAGTGCCTTCATGGGGTTGAACTATGTCATTTATAAATTAGCTGCTCACAATGTCACCTTGGACTGTTCACGCTGGTGTTACTGTCAGGTTCGCTTTTGCTGGTGATAGAAAATTTCAAGTGTGAGTTCCCAGATATCCTTTCCTGGCACTTCACTATTGTCAAAAAAGGGTGATTGTCCACACCCCCTTTGCGTTGGCTTTCTCCAGTAAATCCACCCCGCGTTCGAAGTCCGTGTGTTCTTTCCTTGGTGGGCTGCTGTTTGCTCCTGTTAACACGGAGTCTTCTCCCCATTTTGTTTGCAGTGTCTCAGTTTGAAACCGAATTCTACATCAGTGGGCTTGCACCTCTCTGTGACCAGCTTGTTGTGCTTTCCTACGTCAAAGAGGTTTCAGAAAAAACGGTAATTTTATTCCATCCTTTTTTTTTTTTTTTTTACCCCAAATACGAAAGGAAGTGCGGATTCGGTTTTTAGCATTATGCCCAGATCAGATTGCCCAGGAAAGGGCTGTGCTGTAGTCTGAGCAGAAGTTCCCAACCTAGAAAATAAGGTCGGCAGAGGTTATGTATTTACCTTTCAGAAGCTCCACTCATTGCCTGCCTTTGTTCCTCTTGCTGAGCAAAGGGAAGTCATTTTTTTCCCCTCTTTTTTCCATCTCTTGGTATTTTAGGCGAAAGGAATGAAGGATTCCTTTTGCTGAAGGGCGAAGAAACGGAGCTGACACTGTGCGTTAGCAGAAATGACAGCAATGAAGTTGATCTGCCACAACAACAGGGGTCCCAGTGGTCAGAGGGAATTACGGAAAGGGCAGTTCGTTATTTCCCGTGGTCCAGACAGATTTGCTTCCTTCCCAGTGGCCTTCCGATCCCGAGCAGCTTGATTTTGCTTTGAAATGGATTGTGGCGAGGTCTCAGTTATCAATGCAAATGTGAGGGAAGGAGACGTAGGGCTGATAGAAAGCAGCAGAGAATCCAAACATCGTTGGACGTGACTTTGGAGGGAAGCCTGTATGTGTGATCCAGTGGAGGCCACGTCCAGCAGAGACACTCGGTCTTCCTTTGAAGCTTGGATGAGCCCCCTTCCCAGCTTGTCTTCACTGTTAGCGTCCAGGGGTGCTGCCGGGAAGGGAGCAGGGGTGGCTTCAAGGCATAAACAAGGAGAGCTTACCATAAAGGATTTTCTCTTAGATGCCACGTATAAAAGAAATTGCAAATTGATTGTCTGGTCCTCTACAATAAGAAGGCTCTCCTTGTCCGTATCCTCTCCTTTTCTCCCCCCTTTTCAACTGGCTGGGAATAAAATGGGGAGAAAAACCCTGGGAGGCCTGGTTTTGAAGTGGTAGCTTGAGAGCATTTCTCTGAGCGAGCACTTGCGGTGGGAAGTCATTGCTATAGTAACCTGAAGCTCTGGGCGCCCACGTTGCTAGGCGATGGGATGCTTTAGACTTAAGTGAATACTCACAGCTACTAAAATCAATAGGTCTGGCTTCTAGCCCTGTTGCAGGACATCACTTTATTATTTTATTTATTTTATTTATTTATTTATTTATTTATTTATTTATTTTTTTGAAAACAAAGGAAAGCAGTAGCTCCCAAGGGAGTAAAAATACAGTGCTTTCTGATGAGGAAGGTGGGGTGGGTTGAGAATGTGATTGAAAGATGGAGGAAGGAAGCAGTAAAATGAAAAAGGGAAAGCCCAATGCACAAGTGAGCAAAAAAGAAAGGAAGCAAGGAAACCTTTGCTAATAAAGGAAGAGGATTACAAAGGAGTAGAAACCAAAGAAAGGCCAACCCCATAGACCACATTAGAAAATGGAATTTCTTCAGAGGAAGACTTGTGAGGGTCTTGGAGATGATTTACAGTTGTGTGTGCCAGTACACGTAGCTTTTTATATAGCACTGAAGTACACCTGAGATCCTTAAACACAGAATAAACTAACAAAATTAAGACAAAGGCATAAAGCAAGCGTGGGGGCCAAACCACTCTCCCCTTTGTTCTTTTCTCATATGAAAAAGACAGTGTAACTGCGACATTAGACAAAATTCGTCTTTATGTCACGCATATCCTCCCCCAGAATAGTCTCCCCGTTACACCCGTCACGTACGTGCGTTATTCCGCACCGTTGTTGTCATGGTCGCACGCTCTTCTGTGTTGCCCTATTTTTGTGAACCTTATTCCATTCTCTCTCCATATGGCTGTGTCGTTTCCTGTCATTATCATTTATAGTGGCCGTGGACAATTCCATCTGGATTTATTCGGCTGTCTCCCTTACGTTTGTTCCATTCATTAACAAAGCATACGTGTAGCAAGAATCATGCTAAGCACTGGGGATCAAAGGCCAGCAAGACCAAAATCTTGCTCCTGGGAAGGTCACAGATAAGCAGGGGCCGCACGACCAGTGAGCAAAAGGTTGTAAAGGAACAAGATGAATCACTGATGGTTTTCTTATGCATTTAAAGGAGCTATTTATGTGGCCAAGCAAGGTGGTTTTCTTTTACTATTATTTGCTTCCAATATTTTTCTATTCTTGCTGTTCTAATTTGGATTTTGTTTTTGCCCTTGTTACAGCAGTTCATTTTTTAAATATTACAACCTTTCCACTTTTTCCCATTGTTTCAAAATTGAGACGGTTCTCATTTTTCCACAGATGTGAAAAATTCTGCTGTATACTCCCTTGTTTTTGTCCTCTACTAGTCGATCTTTCATAATTGCTGTTTTATTTTTGCCATGTTTTTAAACGTACGAGATGCAAAGCTAATGTCATTGCCTCTCAGTTAACCTGACAAAACGGATCAAAGAACTCTTGCAGGCTCACTGCGGTTCTTGGGGGACGTGGGGAATTGGGGGACATCTTCCACGCGGCCCCGCCTCTGGGTTCTCTGCGCCAGTGTCCCACGGCTACGGGTCTTGAGGCTTCGGAAAACCGGCAAGTGTATGTTTTATGCCTGTGTGCCAAATGCTCAAAAAGCACAAACTTTCAAAGTAAAACAAACTTGACTTCAAGTCCAAGGTTTACCGTAAGTCCCAGTTTTGCCACACATTGCAGTCTCCCTATTACATGACTTTTCTTTCCTACAACGACATCCCCCGTTCCTTCATCTGTGATATGTGGAGCAGTAATACTCACTTAGGTAATTTAAGGGGTAACTTATGAGCTCTGTGAGAACAATGTGCGTCTCATCGCCTTCTAGGTTAGTGGTGCTGCCACAGGCCCTAGAAAACCCTCTCTCCCCCTTCTCTCCTGACCTAGAGGTGCACTGTCCAAAACTATGGTCACTCACCGTATGTGGCTATCTACATTTTAATTAATTAAAATGAAATAAAAACTGTTTCTCGGTCGCGGTAGCCACGAGTGACTCTTGTCTGTCACATTGGGCGGCGCACATGGCCACCGTTGCCCTCTTCGTCTGAGCGCATTCTGCCTTAGACGTGGCTCTCGGTCCCTGGCTTCTCAGCGTCACCAGTGAGTGTACCAGTGGTGGCAGTGGCTTGGCAGTTTGTCACGTTATTTTTATGCTTCCCCACATTCGTGAGGAAGAGCCGAAGCCAGTTGTGGAAGTGTGCGGTGGCCATGCCCTTGGAGCTGGACAGGCCGCAGTGGGGACCGCCAAAGGACTCCATAGCACCTGTCCCCTTGGTCTCACAGAAAGGTCAGAAGATAACATGGTGTGACAAGGCTGTCACGCAGGTGGTTAGAAGGGCCTACATCTGTCCAAATTATGAAACCAAGGCATTTAACTAGGACTGACTGGAACGCATTTGTACAGTTTCTAGAAACATAACGAAAACATGCCTTTTCCCTCCCTTCCCTCCCCCGCCCCCATCCAGGAGAGAGAATACCGTGCCAGGCCTCGACTGGATATCATCCAGCCGCTTCCTGAAACCTGTGAGGAGATCTCTTCAGACGCTCTCACCGTGAGAGGCTTTCAGGAGAATGAGTGCAGAGATTATCATCTAGGTGAGAGCTCAAGGCTCTGGCTCATGTTGTTTCTTACGCTTGTGGGTTTTTTCCCCTTTCACGCTGTTAGCACAACCAGGAATTTAAATTGAGGTGCTGGAAGGGTCTTAGAGAATATCTGGGCAGGCCTGTTGTGTTGAGGATGAGGGCACAAGGCTCAGAGCTTGCTTGAGCTCCCACAGAAGGGAGGGGGAGACCAAGGTGAGGGGGCTCCGTGGGCTTGGTTCTTATGTTGTATCTCTTGCCCTGTGGAGTGTGACACCCACGGTGACATCAGGCAGCATGGTTCCATGGTTGCCAGATGACTCCCAACTGTGTATGTCTGGAAAGCGTGCTCTGGGATGGCAGACAGTCGTCTTCCTGTTAGTGACCAAATGCCTGTCACCTGGGAGAGTGCCCGGCAGGGACTCGGGGTTCGCCAAGAATTTGTTGAGTGGGTGAACGAATACGCTGGTCACTACTCAGAAGTCAGGGATGAATGGCTGTTATTTGGTCATTGCCAGGCCATCTGTGCTAGAGTGTCATCACATCATCCAAAAATACAGTGATGAAAGTAGAACAGCCTAAGCTTTCTTTTCGAAATTTTCCTGCTTCGAAAGCAATGGATGTTTTTGTTTTTGTTTGTGTCTGTTTCCAGAATATTTTTGGTTCTCATTTTGGCCAAAGGAAAGAAAGAAATATTCTATACGGTTTGAGCTTGCTTGCTTTCTTTTTTTTTCATTTTATTTTTATTTTTTTAATGTTTATTTTTTGAGAGAGAGAGAGGGCACAAGTGAGGGAGGGACAGAGAGAGAGGGAGACAGAATCAGAAGCAGGCTCCAGGCTCCAAGCTGTCAGCACAGACCCCAACATGGGGCTCCAGCCCATGAACCATGAGATCATGACCTGAGCCAAAGTTGGACGCTTTACTGACTGAGCCACCCGGGTGCCCCCAGTTTGAGCTTTCTTATACGGAGCCCCTAATCAGTTGAGAAATTAAGAGTATATTCTGGACTTGGCAAAAAGCACATGTGATTCACAACCGGAAGTGTCCAGTCAAGGCATTTTGCTCAGCACACTTAACAACCCTTCCAAACAGGTTGTGTAATTGAATTCTGCAGGAAACCCTCGCAACTGGTGTTGTGCACAATGTGCTGAAATGATAGATGATGACCCCGGGGCCTGGGGCATCTGTCATTTATGCTTTAGGTGGCCTTGACCTTGATGAGGAGGAAACATTTATTGCCAACTATGGGGTGTAATTGTTCTATAAAAATAGAACAGTGCTGTAAATGGCCATAAATTAAGTTTATATACAGAAGATGAATTCTAACACACAGGTGACACAGAGCATTTTGATCACCATCTTTCAGCCGAGGTCACGATGTTAATGTGTTAAACATAGAATTATAAACTACCTTATTTTTTCAAAGTTTTTTGATATTCCTTCCTTCCCTCCCTTTTTTTTTTCTTTTAAATAATTGTTTGCCTTCAGACAGAGCCAAACAGACTTGCCCAAAGGTAGCCAAGTTTTCTGTTTCCCTTGGAATTGTATAACCTGAGTCCCTTGAAACTGCTACTGAAGCATCTAATGCCAAGCCACCCACGCTGTTCCTTTCTTGCCTCACCTACAGAGTACTCTGAAGGGGAGTCACTCTTTTATATCGTGAGTCCAAGAGACATTGTCGTAGCCAAGGAACGGGACCAAGATGACCACATTGACTGGCTCCTTGAAAAGAAGAAATACGAGGTAGTTTTGATTTTACTTTCCTGAAAGTATGGTGGCATCTGTAACAGAGGATAAAAGGTTTGTGTAATAAATCTTTCATGTCGGTGAATTAGAACGCCCTAAGCTAAAAATAGGTAGGAGGCTGATAACTTTCCAATACTCTTTTCAGAAATGAGGGGAGAAAGGATTACAAGGAGGTTAACTGGTTTCGTTGTTCAGTGGAGGAAGAGGTGTGGTAGAGGGAGCGAGGCACATTAGATGCAGCCTATTCAAGTGTTTCTCCTATGGTTTTTCAAGGAAAATAAAATCGAGCTAGTGTTTCAGAATTGTCTCTTCTGTCTGTTAGTGACACCATTCATTTGTGCCAATTTCATACATAAGATTAAGCTATCAAATCAATACTCACTTGGAATTGTTTGAACTACTTGTTCAGAGATGATGATGATGTCCACCTCACCGAGTCTGGATTCAGACTAATTTGAGTAGAAAAATGTCCCATGATGACTTTTTTTTTTTTTTAACAAAAAGAAAACCTTTTAACTTTAAAAGCTGTAATGGTATTATTACGGTTGGCATAGAGAAACTCTCTGGATGGGCTTACATACTAATAAGCTGAAAACAAACAGACACAAAATAATCTACTCATTTACTGCTTTAAGTTTGTAACCGCCTGAAAGGATTTGGGGGGAAAATGGTTTTCATTTATAAACTAGCTTGAGTCCCGGCATTGCTACAGAGTTCATACCTCAGTGATTACCATATTGCTTCAGATGCAGCAGTTCCTTAAATAATTTTATGTTTTAGACATTTGTGTTAAAGTAATAATTATGAACTTCCCAAGATAAAAGTAAAAGTAGGGTTTTTCGAGATCTTAATTGCAGATACACTTAACTGTGTGCATCAAGTTTTTTTGTATCCCACAAAGGAAAAGTGCCCCTTTGTCACTGTACGTCATGCAGATTTAGAATGACAGATGAATTTTTTTGTTTCTTTGAACCCCAGAGATGTTGCTGTATTTTGATTTGTGTCTGAAATGTGATTCCACTATCCTAATGTGGAAATGCATTCAAATGGAAATAAGAGAAGTCTTCATTTTGGTTGACTGCTTCTGTTGGAGTTTGAATGCAGTGAGGTTCATTCAACCATAACATTAAAAATGCCCATGCTTGAAGCAAAAGCCATGGGAAAATGGGGCTTTATTTATGTAGTCTAGAACTTTAAAACATAATAAATATAGTGTTTATAACCTCAATGTCTTCTTTCCCACTCTCTTCCATTTTCCCTCCCTTCTTTTCTGCTCCCTTTATCGTGCTTTTGTAAATGTAGGAAGCTTTGATGGCAGCTGAAATCAGCCAGAAGAACATTAAAAGACATAAGATTCTAGTAAGTGTGTAATTTTATTATTTGAAACATAACTTTACCTTTTGATAAGTTATAATGAGACTTAAAGTAATTTGAAAAGAACAGGTTTTTTCCTACCTTTTAGAGACTTTATTTCAGACCTTCCAATCTGCAAGGTCAAAATATTTCATTTTATTGAATCAGTGTCTGCTTGTAACCAAGAGGCTTGACTACCTGCTAGGAGGCTGTTTTGGGTAATTTGGAAACTGGATTTGTGACATGCACTTTAAGTACAAAACTTTCCCATTGTGTGCGGGGAAGTTTTCTTTGCATTATCCCAAAATGTATCCAGAGTAGTTTCATAATGCCAGATTGCCTCAGTGTCTCCATAATAAGAGTCATATGTGTCATGGAGACGAATATAGGACCTCGGATACAATTTTCAGTGCATTTTGGACTATGGAAAAATACGGTGACTGAAAGCCCATTTCTTTGCTAATTGTGACAGTGAATGTGCAGATGGAAAGAGTGTGAAAGGTCTTTAGAAATCAGCCAATGCAGGACCATTGTTCACAGATGAAAACTGGAAACCTAGTGGTCTTTTTTTTTTTATGTTTATTTTTGAGAGAGAGAGTACAGGTGGGGGAGGGGCAGAGAGAGAGGGTGGGACACAGAATCTGCAGCAGGCTCCAGGCTCCCAGCTGTCGGCACAGAGCCCGACGCGGGGCTCGAACTCACAAACTCTGAGATCATGACCTGAGCTGAGGTTGGACGCTTGACCGACTGAGCCACCCAGGCATCCCTTTTATTAAAATTGATTTCCATGTTGGGGCGCCTGGGTGGCTCAGTCGGTCGAGAGGCCGACTTCGGCTCAGGTCATGATCTCATGGTCTGTGAGTTCGAGCCCCGCGTCGGACTCTGTGCTGACAGCTCAGAGGCTGGAGCCTGTTTCAGATTCTGTCTCCCTCTCTCTGACCCTCCCCCGTTCATGCTCTGTCTCTCTCTGTCTCAAAAATAAATAAACGTTAAAAAAAAAAATTATAAAAAAAAAATTGATTTCCATGTTTATTTGCATCTCGTATACTTTTCCCCCCCACAATAAAAATCACCTAGGGGCACCTGGTGAAAATAGAAACAACAGATGCATTTAAACATGCTTAGGAAGGAAATGAGCATAATTATGTACAGCACACTAAGGTGTATAAAACAGATTCTAAGCAGTAGTGTGCCAGCAGGACCCTGAGGTCATGGCCTGCTCAGGAACTGAGGCTCACCTTCCCAGTTTTTCCAGTTAATTATGAAATTCCTTCATTTCATTTTCCCTAGGACATTGGCTTGGCATATATAAACCACCTGGTGGAGAAAGGAGAGTATGACATAGCAGCACGGTAATAATGATATTTTCACAATTGTTTGTTAGTATAAGTAGAAGCGAGAAACGTTTACAGTAAAATAAGCCATTCTCTGGGGTTGGCATTTTTTTAGATCTTTCTTGGAGGGGTAATTTTTGAGTATTAGCGGCCTTAACCGCAGCCTGGCTTTGTTACTTACCCACCTACTGTCTCATTTTCACCAAACAAGGGATTTAATGAGAAGGATGTGAAAAACATGAAGCGTGTGAGAGTTTACCCTTTTTATAAGCTAACAGGGTAGCACATCGGTTTCACGGGTGCTGGCAGAAGACGTGACTCGTGGGTCGGAGACGCAGGCCTGCCTCAGCAGCAGCCGCTGTAGCCGGAGCGTCCACATTTGTGCCACATCCCACAGCCCCAGTTCCTACAGAAGGCCTCCGGGTGGCACTGCGCAGGCCATCGGTCGTGTTACAGGAGAAGGGACCCTGAGCTTAGGGCATCTGATTCTTTCATAATGAGCAGTAATCCTGCCTGCCCTTAGCTTCAGAGGAACACAGTATTTTTATCATCACCAACCTGCCCTCGGCTCTGGAGGGAAACACTATCTGTGTCTCTCGTTTCCGGGGCTGTTCACTCTACAGACATCCTTGAGAAGGCAGTCAGTACCACTGCCTATAATTCAAGGAGAGGGGTCTGCCAACAAGAGGGTGGCAATTACACAGAACTGACCAGATTTCAGGCTTCAGGTTTGCAAGAACACAAATGTTGTATAGTGATTGTGTGGGTGTGTGTGGGTGTGGCTCCCCCTGGAGCTTCAGGGTTCTCGCCTGCGGGACTGCACAGCAGCTTGGACACCTAGCCTTGAGGCCTACCTATTATTTTCTGAGATTTAGGGAAACGTGGTTTTTTGCAGCCTAAATTAAGTTTTGATTCGTATATAAATATTTCTCCAGATGATATACAGTGATAGGCTTCCAATTTTCTGACGTCTGATTTTGTAGTCTATTACTTCAAGCCATTCAAGAAGTGGTTTAAATTGGTGCTTTTGGGTATGGTGACATTTCTTCAAGGCCCCAAACCCGCTGGTTCCCAAACCAGCAGTGCTCATCTGGCTTAGTAGGAAACCCAGAACGGGATAATCATTGGGAAAACTCCTACAACTCCTAATCGTAGTCTTCTGAAAGGGACTCCTCTTTATTTCTAAGTATTTCATATCAATTTTCATGATTTCCGTCAACCTTGTATATGCAGGCAAGTGGTTGTCTAGTAATACCTTTATGTTCCTTGGCACTTGAGATAGAAATTTGTCACAACTCTGGGATGAGAGATTTATCTAAACCAATAGAGGAAATGTATTACTTATTCTTTTTTTCTTTTTTTCTTTTTCTCTTTTTCCTTTCTCCCTGGGATGTTTTGACTGCCAGCAAATGCCAGAAAATTCTTGGGAAAAATGCAGCACTCTGGGAATATGAAGTTTATAAGTTTAAAGAAATTGGACAGCTTAAGGTAAGCTAGCCTTATTTTTAACTCTTAATTTTTGTATGTAGGATATTAATATTGAGATGGAAATAAAATGAAGACCATAGTAATCAGTTTCTTCCTGGGAAGTGAGTGTTATCTCAGCTAGGAAGAAACATCAGAACATAAATCTGGTTTATATTTCATGTGTATAAAACATATACCTATATGTTATACCTTCTTACATCACTCCAGTTCTCTCTGTTTAGATGAAGTGTTTAATGTCCTTTCTAATGAATACGGAAAGCAGGTATAGTCTCATCCTGCAGATTATAAAAACATGAGTCGTTTTTCAAATGCACTGAAGAATTAATGTACTTTTCAAATAATATTTTATTTGTTGGAAGACAGATGAAAAGTTTGACCATGTAACTATAACACGTAACTCAATATTTCATGTCTTTACCTTCTTTTTTTTTCTTTTTCAAGTTCTTATTAATTTCCAGTTAGTTAATATACAGTGTAATATTAGTTTCAGGTGTAAAATTTAGTGATTAGCACTTAACATACAACACCCAGTGCCCCTCACGCTTGTTGATGTGATAAGTGCCCTCCTGAATGCCCGTCACCCATTTAATCCATCCCACTCCCACCTCCCTCCAGCAACCCTCAGTCTATTCTCTGTAGTTAAGAGTGTCTTATAGTTCGCTTCTCTTTTTTTTTACCCCTTCCCCTACGTTCACGTCTGTTTTATTTCTTAAATTCCACATATGAGTGACATCATATGGTATTGGTCTTTCTCAGACTTATTTCGTTTAGCATAATACATTCTAGCTCCATCCATGTCATTGCAAATGGCAAGATTTCATTCTTTTTTATGGTTGAGTAATATTCCACCTTCTTTATCCATTTATCAGCCGATGGACATTTGGGCTCTTTCCGTAATTTGGCTGTGGTTGATATTGCTGCTAGCATTGGTGTGCGTGTATCCCTTCAAATCAGTAATTTTGTATCCTTTGGATAAATACCTACTAGTACAGTTGTTGGATCGCAGGTAGGGTACTTCTATTTTTAACTTTTTGAGGAGCCTCCATACTCTCTTCCAGTGTGGCTGCACCAGTTTGTATTCCCACCAACAGTGTAAGAGGGTTCCCTTTTCTCTGCATCCTCGCCAACATCTGTTGTTGCTGGAGTTGCTAATTTTAGCCATTTGACAGGTGTGAGTTGATAACCTCATTGTAGTTTTGATTTGTATTCCCTTGATGAGTGATGTCGAGCATCTTCTCATTTGTCTGTTAGCCATTTGTATGTCTTCTTTGGAAAAATGTCTGTTCGTGTCTTCTGCCCATTTTTTAACTAGATTATTGGTTTTTTGGATGTTCAGTTTTATAAGTTCTTTATATATTTTAGATGCTAACCCTTTATCTGATAGGTCATTTGCAAATATCTTCTCCCATTCTGAAGATTACCTTTTAGTTTTGTTGATTGTTTCCTTTGAAGGAAACGATTTACCTTTCAATTTATTGCACAACATCCAGATTAAATAATATTATGTTTGTTTAAAATATTTAATTTTCCCCCCAATATTTGTGAACCTTCTCTTAGAGTTATGAATATGTTCTTAAAAATTTCTAGTTATAGGGTGCCTGGGTGGCTCAGCCAACTCTTGATTTCAGCTCAGGTCATGATCCCAGGGTTGTGGGATCATGCCCTATGTCAGGCTCCACACTGAACACTGAGTGTGGAATCTGCTTGAGAGTCTCTCTCCCTCTCTCCCTCCCACCCTCCCCCCACCTTCTCTCTCTCTTCCTTCTCCTCCGTCCCTCTCCTCCACTAGTGCTCTCTCTCTCAAAAAATTTTTTAAAAACTTAAAAAAAAAAAAAATTCCCAGTTGCTCAGTCTGCCCGCCCTGTGACATCTGCACTTTTGCCCGCATGTTGTTCTTCTTCCCCCAGGGACACTTCTTGTCTTGTTCACTGGGCTGCTCCTGGAGGATCTTATCCAGTCCTGTGGCCATGTGTACGCTGATGGCTCCATAAACCCATACCTCTCTTTTAAATTCAGTGTCTGTCCTGGAAACGCGTGATGGCCATTTTTACTTGCATGAACTGCTGATAACAATCACTCAGATGAACATGAATCCGTTGCTTTCCCAAATTTGGTCCTCCCTCTCTCAGTCTGTATCTGTGGCTTCACGATACACCCATCCCTCCATGCTTTACGGCTCACAGCCGCTGCCCTGATGAGAACATCTGAGCTGCCTCCCGATTCTGTTTAATCTGCGGCTCTGTCTTACCTTGTCAGCACCTCTCTTCCCCTCCACTGCTGCTGCCTTGACCCTTGTCTGTGCCATTGCAGGGGCCTTCTGGCAGACGGACGAACAGCCCTACCCAGGGCTAGCGGTTTAAAAATTAAATCTGCTCTTCTCTCTGCCCTTCTGCTTGAAGTATAAAATCCAAATTGCTTTCATTGCCTCACTTCCCCTTTCTCTCCAGATTTAGCTCACTTCTGTGACCCCTGTCCCACGTCTCTGAGCCCCTCTGGTCTTCCTGAACACAGTGCGCATCCATGGCTCCACGCTGTTCCCTCTGCCCTTCCCCATCTTTCTTTTCCTGATGGACTCCTGGTGTCCATTGCATCTGCCTCAGTATATAGGCTCCACCCCTGCTCACCCAGCACCTTGTGAACCCCTTTTTTAGAACACTTAGCACACAGGCTTGCAGTTGGCTGTTTAGATGTGTGCATGCCATCCCTCTGAGGCTTTGAGCCCCTTGGGATGGTGACTCTAGGTCTGTGTCCCCAGGACAGAGTATGGTGATGAGTACATAGTGCACTGCAGGGTCATTTAACAGTGTTTGGAAATTCAGCACTCAACACAGCACTCAAATGGCTAAAGAACGCAAGGTGTGTTATTTTCCCTTAATTTCAAATGATGATTATAAGTTTTTAAAGAGTGATAGATTCCATTTTAAGGAAAAAAATAGGGATAGGTGACCTGTGACTCCTTGATTACTTAAGGTAAAGCTTTTATTTCTGCGACATTCTTCCTCCTATTATTTAGAAGTATCAGGAAGAAGAGCGAGAGAAAGTTTAACCTGAGGCAGTGTTTTATTCATCATTCATACATACGTACATGTCATAGATACTTTTGAATATATATTGTAATGTGTTGTAAGACAGAGTTTATTTGAATTTTTTTCATAATAATTTTCCAAAGTACTCTGTTGCCATACATTTAAAAAAAACTTTTTTTTATGATTGTTTACCTTTGAGAGAGAGAGAGAGACACACACACACACAGAATGAGAACAGGGCAGAGAGATAGGGAAACAGAATCCAAAGCCGGCTCCAGTCTCTGAGCCATCAGCACAGAGCCTGATGCGAGGCTCAAACTCAGGAACCATGAGATCCTGACCTGAGCTGAAGTTAGATGCTTAACCGACTGAGCCACCCAGGCACCCCATCTGTTGCCTTACATTTTTAAAAGTAAAAATACAGGGGCACCTGGGTGGCGCAGTCGGTTAAGCGTCCGGCTTCAGCCAGGTCACGATCTCGCGGTCCGTGAGTTCGAGCCCCGCGTCAGGCTCTGGGCTGATGGCTCAGAGCCTGGAGCCTGTTTCCGATTCTATGTCTCCCTCTCTCTGCCCCTCCCCCGTTCATGCTCTGTCTCTCTCTGTCCCAAAAATAAATAAACGTTGAAAAAAAAAAAAAAGTAAAAATACACAGATGGTCTCCTACTTACAGTAGTTTAACTTCTGGTTTTTCAACTTTACATTGGTGCAAAAGTGACACACAGTAGAAACCGCGCTTTGGATTCGGATTTTTTCTTGGGCTTGTGATACATGGGACAAGCCTCTGTCGCACTGCCGGGCAGGGCAGCCGAGCGGAACTCCCGATTAGGTCAGCTGCACCATCACCTGGGTCAGCAGCCCATACGCTCACAAGCATTCTCTACCCACACAGCCATTCTGTTCTTCATTTTCAGTACAATACTCGGTAAACTAAGAGATGTTCAATGCTTTCTAATAAAAGCAGGCCGTGTGCTTTTATTTTTAGAGGATTTTGCCCAACTGTCGGCTAATGTAAGTGATGTGAGCACATCTAAGGTATGCTCGGCTAAGCTGTGATGTTCAGTAGGGGGGTACTTTAAAAGCATTTCTGACTTAAAATATTCTCATTTTGTGATGGTTTTATCAACATAACCCTACGATAGGTGGCAAAAGATCTCTGTACGTTTACATTTTCTACGTAATTGGAGTATGGTTTCGTTTTGTCCCTTCTGAAAAGATTTTTTTCCTTTTCCTTCCTTAGGCTATTAGTCCTTACTTGCCAAGGGGAGACCCAGTTCTGAAACCACTCATCTATGAAATGATCTTACATGAATTTTTGGAAAGTGATTATGAGGTACGGCCATTCTGACACGGTCATAGTTACTTTGTCTCAATGGGAAAGCGGTAAGAAATCTAGAAAAGTAATACAGGGGAGCAGGGGGTTGAAAGGGAGCAGATTTGCGGGTCGTGTGTGATAGATAAAGCCGAGGTGAGACCTTGATGCCCACTCATGTCTGCGTGTCTGCGTAGACCATGAAAATCTCTAGTCTGCATACATTGTGACCAGTTCCTCTGTTCCTTTATAATTTCCTACAGCTAATTCCTTTGGCTCTTTGAAAGGGCTAAAGAAAAAGGACTAAGTACTGTTTGGTGATTTCGTACACAGAAGAGCAGCAACCCATTGATGCTGGAGACTCAGAACTAAGTTTGCCAAAGGCAGAATGAAGAGAAACCGGGGGG